GATTGTTATATATAAAACTACTGATTTAATTATAACATATAATTCAGATTATATATATTTGGGGACTAGGGAGATGATGGTTTTGTAGTTAAGAGTACCTATTGTTCTTGCAGAGGACCAAGGTTCTGTCCTAATCCCCCACATAGTGGCTCACAGTCATCTGTAACTCCACTTCTGGGGATTTGGTGTCCTGACCTCTGTAGGCACCAGGTGTAGATGTGGTACATATGCATACATACTGGTACATAAAATAAAAATAAACCTCAAAAATGTTTACAGTATGGCTCAATTCGCCCAACATTGCAGAAATATTACCTGGAGAAATATTTCACCTAAAACTATTTCCTGTCTTGGTGTGGCGGATGCTTCAGTGTTAGTTCAGAGTCTAACAAGTGTTAGCCATAGCTACTCAACTGTGCTGCCATTGTCTCTATCAGACAATGACTTCAGTGCCCTTTCCCCCTCTCACTTAAGTTATTTCTGAAGGAAGATCTTAGCACAGAAGGAAGGGTGTCTTATAAGAAAATAATCACCATAGAGTTAAAACACATATGAATCCTGCCTCCTGTTTATTATCAAGTTAGTAACAGTGCTTTAAAAACTCATTTGGATGGGCCCCTTGGTATAAATAATTAACTGCAGATGACTTTGAGACAATAATTCAATCTTCTTTATGATTTATTAGTCTACCAATTGTAGGTTTGAGGGCATCAGATCAGCTGTTTGAGACTCAAGGGGTTTAATTGTTTTAGCTTCTGATTGTTTCATACTCATCTACTTCAAGTAATCTCATTAAATTAATAGGTTTTCAATTTCTAAGTAATATATTTAGAAGCTATAGCATAAAGTTACGATGTAGGAGTTGAAGTTATGGCTCAGTGGTTATGAAGAGCACTGACTGATCATCCAGAGGACCTGGGTTTGAGTCCCAGCACATACATGGAGGTTCACAGTCATCTGTAATTTCAATCTTGGAGGCTCTGACATCCTCTTTGGGCCTCTGAGGGCATTGTACACAGGTAATGCATAAGCGTTCATGAAGGCAAAATAACCAGACACAAAATAATAAAATGTTAATAAAAATAAAAGTTATGTTGTTCAGAATTAGGTACACTAGTGTATGATCCTTCATGCTTTGTTCCTATTTGACAGAAGGCTCATTTTTGTGATTAGGTAACTAAAACTGTGCAGTCTACTCGTCATTTGATGATGAGTTAAAATAAAACATTTACAAAGAAAGTAATGCTTGTAGACCTTCATTTGTTTCATTTATAACGTCTGTGGATATAACCATTTCTTCAAGGGTGAATTGGTTTTAAGCTATTCTCAGATGTATGCTAATTCTGACTATCTCCATGAATCCCTAAATTGTACTTGAGTGTGGCATCAAATCATTGCTATCATGGATAAGAAGGGTTATACAGTCTTGATGTAACTGCCCCTCAGAAGTCAGAGGAAGCAAAGTTCATGAAAAATCATCCAAAGACTGTGTAGCCTCTTCATTTATAGATACTGGGGGAAATTATCTGTAGTAATTGACTGCGACCTACTACATTTTGCATATTTCTCTCAGTATTTCACATTTATTCTCAGCTCATGCTTTCATTATCAATGGAAGTAAGAGTGTGTCTCTTGCTCTGGATATTAAGAAATTAACACAAATAGAGCTTTATAGCTCAGTCAATGTAGACACAGGATTTGAACCCAGCATTCTGGATCCTTGGTGTGAGCTGTAGCCACCATGCCATCAATGCTTTTTTTTTTTTTTTTTTTTTTTTTTGGTTTTTATGAGACAGGGTTTCTCTGTATTGTTCTGGAGGCTGTCAGTCCAGCCTGGCCTCGAACTCACAGAGATCCGCCTGCCTCTGCCTCCTGAGTGCTGGGATTAAAGGCGTGTGCCACTACCACCCGGGGCCATCAAGGTTTATACTAGCCTGGATAGAAGATGAGCTTGAAGATCCCTGGGAAAACTGGAGGGAAATGATTTAACAAGGGCAAAAAATACTCTAAGAGGTCGGAACAAGACCAGGGAAGGTCAAATTGTAGGGTAAAGGTTTTGAGTCCACTTCTGGGTCTGAAAACCTATCAAAACCCATTCCTTGAGCCCAAAAGTCCACTGACCCCTGAGCTCAAAATCCCATTGGTCCCCAAGCTCTAACTCTCACCAATACCTGGTCTTGGTTTGAAATCCTACCAATTCTTACCCTAGAAATCTCCACCCTGACTCGGGAGGCAGAGGCAGGTGGATCTCTGTGAGTTCAAGTCCAGTCTGGTCTACAGAGCGAGCTCTAGGACAGCCTCCAAAACAATACAGAGAAACCCTGTCTTGAAACCCCCTACCCCCAAAGAAAGAAAAAGAAAAAAGAAATCTCCATCCTGGAAGCTATATAAACCTGTCTCCTGCTCAGGTCTCTGCTGCTTCTCTCACCCATCCTCTTGGGTCTCTCCCAATAAATCTCTTGCGTGAAATTTGTTGTGTGGTGTGACTTTGTGTTATTCCTTGACTCCACACTGCCAGAATACCTTTTCCTTCAGAGGTGTAACACTTTCATTAGGAAAACTCTCCCCCTCAGAACTGCAACACTTCCACTGTGGAAACCTTTCCCCTTAGAGCTGCAATACTTCCATTGGGGAAGCCTTTGTCCTCAGAGCCATAACATTTACACAAGGAGAGAGAAATTTAAGAACAGAAAGATGAAGAGAGTCTGTGCCATGGAAATGCTATGGAAGAAATAATTAGAAAATGTCCACAAGGCTTGAGTATATCTTCAACCTTAGCAGGAACATAACTCATAGAAAGGGTAGAATCCAGATTGCAAAGAGACTGAGGTGTATGTAGCCTGAGAGCTCAAACTGAATGTGTTGTTCATTTTTTCCTTATAGATAGAATTTACAAAAGGAGTCAGATGCCCATCCCTCAGGGAGTTAAAAATGAACATGAATAGAAGGGTGTCTAATCAACATCTTGTCTCCATGTGGTAAAAGGTCCAGTTTTCTTTAATTCTGTTTGATACATATCAGTACTCTTAAAACTGAATAAGAGGCCGGGCGGTGGTGGCGCACGCCTTTAATCCCAGCACTCGGGAGGCAGAGGCAGGCGGATCTCTGTGAGTTCGAGGCCGGGCTGGACCGATAGCCTCCAGAACAATACAGAGAAACCCTGTCTCATAAAAACCAAAAAAAAAAAAACTGAATAAGAAATGAATTGCTAAAAGATGATCATGTGATGGCATGTCATAGTTGTGTCAAGAGGCAATAAAAGCTACTTGTTTATTCGTGAGGTTGATACTTACTTACCTCTTGCAGGTTTGTAGTAGTTGATTCTTGGACTAGGACCTGAGACCTCAATTTAAGGTTCCTTTGAAAACCAAATCACAAATAAGGTTTAAAATAAAAGCATTATCAGATTTCACTGAAAAAAAAAAAACAACAGAATAGGTTTTCAAGTAGGTGACCCCAGTTCAGTAGAAATCCACGAAAGTTTCACCAAAGAGAAGGAGAAATCAGAGATTTCCTTTTTTAAGGGGAAAAGGACCACATGTAATCTTTAGCTCATAGAGCAGTTTTTATCTCTTTTAACCAAACTGTAGTCATCTTTGTAGCACCCACACTACAACAATTCTTATGGATTCGGGCGAAGGGCCTGAGTATTGAAATAAAGACAAGAGACAGCAGGTCATTCTTGCAAGGAGAATTCTGTTTATTGCAACAAAAGGGGAGTGTTATATACCAGTGAGAAGGCATGGTGGAAAACTACCAAGGTCAGAAGTTCATTGTTCCCAGGTCCCTCTGACAATAAGGATGGGTGAATAACAGGAACTTGCATTCAGGCCTTATCGGAATGAGGAAAACAAGAAGTATTTGCTAGATAAGCTCTTTGTCACAAGATGTTCAGCTGATCCTTATGGGGGAAGGTCCCAACAGATACCCCCTTTTTTTTCTTGCAAGATTGCAAAGCATCCTTTCTAATTTCTAATTTTTGAGGCTTAAATCCCCTCTTGTAATAAATGACATTCTCCTTGCAAGAATGACCTGCTGTCTCTTGTCTTTATTTCAATACTCAGGCCCTTTGCCTTAATCCGTGAGGAGTGTTGTAGCATGGCTGCTACAATCTTAACTTTGATGCCCACTTTTTCCAAGTCTATGGTGAACACTGAGTCTTTGGTTTTATCTACAAGTTGATTCATAGTGTACAATGAAATTCATATTCCTTTTGGTTCAGTTTAGACTGTTTTGAAAACCCATCTATATCTTCATTTTTATGTTTTTATCTGTGAGTTATTAATTACCTAAGTTGTATTTTATTTTCCTCTCTAATTTACTCCCTTTTTGTTGCTGTTGTTCTATTCGGGGATATGAGATTTGGGGTTGTGGGAAGTGGGAACATTTCACTCCAGTAAGTATTTTACCATTGGCATTGCCTGGAATTGCTTGCACCTGGTGTTCTGTTTTAGACCCTAAATATCTCCTTGCATTAGCTGACAGCTTGATCTGCCATTGGGAGGTGATGAAATATTTAAGATATGAGGCCTGCTAGTAGGAAGTTTAGTCAAGGGTGTGGCAGTGTGGGTGTGGAAGGCCACTGAAGGAGGTACCTTATGCCTGATGCCTCTTTTCTTTTGGCTTTCAAGGTTCCATGAGATGAGCTGCTTCATGTCCCCATTATGATCTACTGTGTAGACATAAACCTAGCAACAGGGCTGGGGATTAGAGTTTGAAACCCCATAAACAGTCAGTCCTAAATAGATACTTTCCTCATTTTGACTCTTTTAAATGTTACATCACATTTATAGAAAATTAACTAGAACATGGCCAGAAAACAAACAATAACAAAAACTTGGCAACTTTTAGTTCTCTATTAAAAGACTTCTGTATTTGGAATAAAATGCCATCACTGTTTTCTTAGAAATCTGTCATGCTTAACATTAAATTAAAATGTAAAGACTTCAGATTTCTTGATATCTGTTAATTAAAATGTTCATTATTCTTACATGTTATAGGCCAGTGACTACTTTTCAAAGGCTTTGAAGTTTAATCCAGAAAATGAGTATGCTCTCATGAATCGAGCTGTTACAAACACAATATTAAAGAAATATGAAGAAGCAGAAAAAGATTTTTCCCGTGCAATTGAACACTGTCCCCACTGGGCTGCATTGTATTTTAACAGAGCAAGTTTCTATGTCTGCTTAAAGAAGTATGAGCTAGCCGAAGAAGACCTTGGCGTAGGTAAGTGTGCTTTGTAACTGAGAAAATGGTAGCAATTACAGTACCACTTTTCAGACTCCAAAGAACACCATCAAGCCTTTTTGTTTATGTGGAATTGATGTGTGTCTTACTACGTCATTTATGTGACCAATACATATTCCTTTGTGTAATGTATCATTTTAATACATTGGTAAGATGAGTTAGAACTATTGGGAAGCCACATACAAACAATGTCAGTCTTCCAGAGGAAGACATCGTACCGTGGTTTCCTGCATTAGTCTTCTCAGAAACATCTGGGATTTCCAATTGAATTCCATTGCTACATTTGAAGAAAAACACTTAAAATGAGAACCATGGGAGGTTTATATCAACACATCTAGACTTTTTTATTTTCTTTTGCAGCCCTGTCTTTGAAGCCCAATGAAGCTGTATTGTATAATCTCAGAGCACAAGTTCGTGGCAAAATAGGACTGATGGAGAAAGCTATGAGTGACTATAACCAAGCCCTTGACCTTGAAGAATGTCCCTCGGCCATGTGATTACACAGGCTCTTGTGGTTTCTGTACTAGGTTAAGTATATTTTCTTCCTGAAACTGAAATATATTTGTTGTTTAGAAATGTCACCATTGTTATTGTATTTATTACACTTAAGTGGTTATTCTTTATAACCACTTAATGTATTTTAAGAAACTTTATATTATGCGTTAATTACAAAACTTTTACATAACTTCAGACAGGAATTGTTCACATTAGTGAAGTAAAAAGAAATGGCTTTCTGGTTCACCTAGAACCCCAATAGATGAATTTCTTCATGGTATACAAGGTCTTAAAAAGGAATATTATTAATCCCTAAATTTGTTTCTGAAATAGTAGAATGATAGAAAAGGTATCATCATGTTTTTTCAATGCCTATTTAAACATGTTAAACAGTTTCCAGCTTGAAAAGAGTAAGTATTAGATGATGGGTATAAAAGACTGATGTAGTCGCCTCTTCTCTCCCCTTTAAACACTGTATTACCAGCCTGGATTCTTCCTGGTTCCCGTGTTCTTCCAGCACATAAACATGTTTCTTTTTTATGTGCTTCTTGACTTCCAGAATAACAGCTACAAGGATTTTGAACACTCCTTTTCCTTGAGATAATTCATTCTTTCTCTCATTCAGAATTCACAAGCATACAAATAAATATGCATAAAAATCTGTGAACAATTGCAATTAATGCTTCATAGCACTCTGTAAACAAAACTGAAGCTTTTGATTTTGTTTTCAGAAAAAGTCTCACTATGTATACTAGGTTGGACTTGAACTCAGTAATCTTGCTCCCATCTCCCAAGTGCTAGGATTTCAGATGTGGGCCACAATGCTTGCTTAAAAATTCTTTATGGGATGTTTCTGAGGGATCTTTGGATTAAGCAGAGTTCTCTTATTTTTTTTTTTTATTGCTTTACTCCCAGTGACCAAGGCTTCCTGATATGCCTCACTCAGTTGATTTTTCTTATTGGAGTTTTAGTCTACTGATCATCACCAGAACTTTAGAGAACTGCTTGCATGACAATAAGGCATAGTTGTCGCCTTAACTTCCTTTACTTCTAACTTGATAGCCAACATATCCCACAAAGTTGATTGTAGTTTGTAAGATACAGTGAGGACACATCATATCATTTAGTGATAGTCTTCCAGGCACAATATGTGGACTCATGTGAGAATCGGTTCATTCTAGTGAGTTATATCAGCTGATTAATAAAAACACATTTAGCTTGTCTTTTGGAATCTTTTTTGTCCTCACTGGTCTCCAGATTCTTTTGTTCCTGGCTTAGCCACAGGTGAGGGTCAAACTGGTCTCCTTTACCTACAGATTTCCTTCTGTGGCACACATATGTCCCTTACCACCCTGGGTTTCTTTGCTGAAGTGGAAAATGTTAGATGCTGGGGATTATCTCAGTATCCACTGTGTGCCCTGAAGAGGTACAAACATATGTGCCTCTGTCAGATGAACTTTTGAAGACGACAGAAGGAGAGTTACTTTTGGATAAATTCGTCTCATTCCACTTCCTGGTGCATTTCAGTATCCCGAGACACTGACTTCATGTAGACTCTTGATAGATGGCCTGGAAGATTGTGGCCTCAGTCAAGTTTTCTAGAGTTGTCAGTACACAACATATCTCACATTAGTGTTTCTGTCTTCCCTGCTTCACTCTTAAAACAGTCTGGCTCTTCTGGGATTGAATTTACTGAATCCCAGAACCTTCATATCCTTGGCTTGCAGTCATGGCCATCTATCACATATTGGCATCTACCGCTAGAACTGCTAACCTATTTCTGGCTGTCCGACCATCCTCTTCTCAGGCCCCAGCAGCAGTATGCCTGTTTACCCAGGCATGTGTACTTCAGTCTCCCAATGGAGCCTGTCTACCCAGATTGTCCCATGTTTGAACATCAGTTTCCTTATATAAAAACCTCTTTCTTTTTATAATAACCAGAATCCATTTTTGTTACCTGTAATTGCTAACTAACATTATGTCCCGAGATTATATCAAATAAAGGGAATAGGTGTGGCCTTGGAGTCCAACTTTAAGTCATATATAGGATTCCATGGCCACACCTATTCCCTCTATTTTCTCAACATCTGTATTATTATATATTATTTTTTATTGCAATATGTATTTTATTTAAATTAGAAACATGCTTGCTTCATAGGTTAAGCCCAGCTCCCTCTCCCACTCCTCCTCCCTTACCCCTCTACCAGCCCCACCCGCCCCCACCTAATCCCCACACTATTCCCCAGGGAGGGTGAGGCCCTCCATGGGAGATCTCCAGAGTCTGTCATTTCATGTGGGTCATATGTCCAGGCTCAGTGAGAATGCCTCAATATGGAATGGACTCCCAAAGTTGGTTTATACACCATGGTAAACACTGATCTACTACCAAGGCCTCAGAGATTTCCAAGGCCTCCTCACTGACACTACATTTAGGGGGTCTGGATCAGTCCCATGCTGGTCTCTCAGCTATCAGTCTGGGATCCAAGAGTTCACCCTTGTCAGGTCAGCTGTCTCTGTGGGTTTCACCAGCACGGTCTTGACCCCTTTGCTCATCACTCCTCCTTCTCTGTCACTGTGTTCCAAGAGTTCAGTTCAGTATTTAGCTGTGGGTATCTGCCTCTGCTTCCATCAGTTACAGGATGAAGGTTCTAGGATGACATTTAAAGTAGTCATCAATCTCATTATCAGGGTGGGGCAATTAAGGTAGTCTCTCCACTATTGCTTAATTTGCCAGTTGGTGTCATCCTTGTAGATCTCTGGAAATCTCACTAGTTCCAGATGTCTCCTCAAATGTATGATGACTCCCGCTATTATGGTATCTCTCATCCTTCTTTCCTCTATTCTTCTCCCACTCAACCTTTCTGCTCCCCCATGTCTTCCTCTCACTTCCTCTTCTCCCCTGTCCCCCATTCCCTTTCCCCTCCACCCATGCTCCCAATCTCCTCAGGATATCTTGCCTCATTCCCCTTCTCTGGGGTATCATGGATATCTCTCTTGGGAATCTCTCTGTTTCCCAGACTCACTGGCAATGGGATTGTAGGCTGGCACACCCCTGCTCCATGTCTAAAATCCATATATGAGTGAGTATATACCATGTTTGTTTTTTTGTGACTGGGTTACCTCACTCAGGATGGTTTCTTCTAGTGTCATCATTTGCCTGCAAATTTCAAGATTCCATTGTTTTTTCCCCGATGAGTTAGGTATTAGTAAATGAGGAAACTTCAAGAAGATTGACTTGTACATTGCTAGTAAGGAGTCTGTGGTAGTAACTCTTGCTGGGAGTTAGAAACACCTAAGAGAAAAAAGTCTGAGTCTGTCTGCCAGGGTGCTTTCAGAGAAGTTAACTTGAATTGGGAAGAGCAACCCAGAGTGTGAGTGGCATTGTCCCTGGGATGTCACCTTATACTGAATAAGAAGGGAAAGCAAGTGGAACACTACTGTTCATCTCTCTCTGCTTCCTAACTGCAGATGTGATGTAACCAGCTGCCTCATGCTCCTGCCTGCATACCTTCCCAGCTCTCAAACTGTAAGCTGACATAAATCCTTTTGGCTTTAGGTTGCTTTTGTTAGATGTTTTGTTGCTACAATGAGAAAAGTGACACACAGGGGAAATTGGTGCTGAGGAGTGAGGCTTTTTTTTTTTTTTTTTTTTTTTGGTTTTTTGAGACAGGATTTCTCTTCATTGTTTTGGAAGCTGTCCTGGAACTCGCTGTGTAGACCAGGCTGGCCTTGAACTCACAGAGATCCGCCTGCCTTTGCCTCCCAAGTGCTGGGATTAAAGGCGTATGCCACCAACGCCGGGCAAGGAGTGAGGCTATTGCTGTGACAAATCTGACTGTGTAATTCTTAGGCTTCTGGAAATAGTTTGCAGGAGGAATGTGGAGAAGGTTTGAGATGAATGTTAGAGATGGCCTAAAGCTTTGTAAGCAGAGCATCACGGTCTATTTTTGTATTCGAAATTGCCAGAATACCAACAGAAATGTGGACATTGGAGACCAGATCACGAGATTCCAGAGAAGAACTCCATCAGTAGCTGGACACCACACAGACTTGAATTCCTTTCCCCGACATGGTTGCCCAGAGAAGTGGTTCCCTGGGGTCAACCAGAACAAAGTCACCGAAACTGTGTTCCAAGGGAACCAAGTTGGCAGTGGATCTTGGAAGTATCATCCACATGGTGTTTTTTTTTTTAATAAACAAACAAAATTCAAGAGTTATGGAGGCCCGCAGGCATGCATCAGGCTTCCCGAAGGCTGCCAAAGCTGGCAATGCATGGCTGCTTTAGATTCTCTGTAAAGAGTTCCTGATAATCCATTATGTGAAACAGTCCATGGGATCTCCATGAAGGAAAACTCTGGGCAAGGAGTAGACTAGTCCTAACCCCCCAAAAGCTATATTTACTTCAGGTGGTAGCCTATTGAGTTGGAGTTCCCAAGGTTGTTATAACTGAGGTGAGTACATTGTGAACTTCTCCCATATATGTATGGGAGCTATAGGATTTGGTGATGTCTTCCCTGCTGAGTCTTTGTCTTGCTTTGCCCTGGTATTTCCTTGCCATGTCCCGGTCCTCATTCCTCCCTTTTAAAAATTGGAATGTTAACTCGGTGCTGTTATATATATGGAAATATGTGACTTGTTTATTAGTATGTGGCTTGTTTACAAGATACCTTTCCCCATAAAGGAGGGTGGCTTGCATCTCTTGTTATATGATTCCATGATGCTACCACCTAGTCTTTTGAAATCCTTTTCACACCTGTATATTCTTGTGTGAAGACCACCTTCCTAACCGGACTGGAAACTCCCTGAAGGTAAGGATTATGTCTATTTGTTCAACACTGCTCATTGTTTTAGTTCTTGCCATGTAGGTGTTTAAAGTATTTTCTTCAATATAAAAATGTCTACATACTCACACAGGGTATTATAAATAAACACCCTATAGATGAATGATCACTACTTGTTTCCATTCTAGAGAGAACATCCTGTGATTATCTAGGCAAGTCTAGACACTAGAAAGGTAAGGGTGGGGAGTGTGTGCACTTGGTAGAGCTTTTTTATTTGACATTTCCTCTGAAAAGAGGCCATAGAC